GCAGAAAGGTCTTTAACATGCTCTAACAACTTGAAGAGAAAGCTCACACCTACCTGGGGGGCTCTCCAATGAAATAAATGTATTGCATCCCTCTGGACTGTTTCAGTGAAATATTAAGGCAAGAGAGATAGAGTATGTACACTACATGCCTGACATGAGCCTAGAGCCGCTAAATGCCAGAGCGGCATTTCAAAGGCACTGCCCTGTGAAGGGCGAACATCAGCGCTGCTCCTGCCCCCCTCTCCTCCGCTCCTGGCTCCCACACACATGTACAGATGGATTGAGATACAGGCAGGCAGCCTGATGTACCTGCAAGAGGCTTTATTTGAAGGGCTTCTCAAGCACAAGCCCCGATTATTATACAGCTGGCTGCCCCAGTCACTCAGGAAGAAAAAGCACTCCAGTGATACATGGAAAAGTTATCTCAAAAATAATAAGGCATTAAAATGCTTGGGTTCAGTTGCATTAAGGTTGGCGCGAGCATTTCTATTCCCCAGCCTGATCCCCCCTGTGCCCAGGCCAGGGAACCTTGTGTCACCCAGTTTCTCCTGTTTTGGTCCCCATTAGTCCAGCAAGAGAAACTTGTTTCCTTGGATGCACCTGGGAGAAGGCTCAGAGAGATGGCCTTGCCTCCCCCTCCACAGCACCCATCCCTTGCATGGGACGCTGATGGCACCACCTCCAAGGAGAGGATGGACAGGCAATTCTGGCAGTCAGGATGGGCACCCGGAGCTGCTTCTCATGGGTAAAGGACCTGGATGGAGGCACAAATGGTCCTTGCAAGATGGTCCAGAAGCCACAAGATGCTGCTTAGCTTGTGAGACAGCTGTGTGCAGAAAGCCCAGCAGAGACATGAGCATCTCCCTAATTTCTCCATGAACCTGCAGTGCCCCTTGGCCACGCCATTGCCACCTGAGACCATTTTTGAGGAGCCAGGCTGCATTGCAGCTGCAAGCCACCACAGCGTAAAGCCAGGGATGGACCAGCTTAAACCTCCACTTCCAAGGTTTCACTGCATCCCTGCCTGCAAGCAGCTATTCCCAGGTGCTCTTGCATTTCCCATGGGAATGGCCAGAGTTTACACATATGTTTTCAAGCCAAGGCTAACCCTCAGAAAACACAGAGCAAGCCCCACCAGGCTGCCTGGGTCTGCCACCCAGCACCCGCAGCCAGAGAGCGGCCGTGCTCTCTGCCCACCGATGCACCAGTACCCCTCGCTAGCTCACAGCACGGCCCACGAGAGCAGCTAGCACCCTGCTGTACATGGAACAGCGCAGGGATTTGCCTGCTCCTTCCCCCATACCTAACAAATCCCCCCTACCACTGCAGTCCTGGGGGGGAGGCAGAAAGAAACACAGTGATTTAGAAGCCAAGACTCCCACAGAGGTGCCCACCAAGTGACCCCTGTTATCTGCATTCCTTGATCCCCAAATGTGGCACCCACACCCCACGCTACGAGCTTCCTTATGCCACTCGCCGTCACGTGCCCTCACAGAGATAGTGCTAACACAAGCAGGACCAGCAGCATCGGGGGGGCCCAGAAGGACAGGGAGGAGGGCAGCTGCAGCGCAGCGCTTGTATGGTGAGGGACTGCAAATCACTTGGGTTTATACGGGAAGCTCTTTAGCAGGAGAATGGAGGGCTGTATTTGCATTGCCGCACCATCCCTGGATGATGGGGGAAGCTCTCCCTGGACCATGCAGCTCCCCATCCTCTTATCTGACAAGCAGGCATCAGCAGCGGCAGGGGAGGAGGAGGAGGAGGATGGGGAGCCCAGCCCCGGCTCCCGGCTCCCAGAGGAGCTGCCAGCCGGAGCGGCGACTGATGCTGGGGTGGTGTGGCCCTTCTCTCAGCAGGCAGCTGCCTCACACCCAGCCCGTGTGTGGAAACCTCTTTGTCGTGGCAGCTAAGGAGCAGATTGTGTTTCACAGCGCCACGACCCCGCGCAGGTACGGCCGGCGGCTTTCATCTCCCTGATAGCTCCCACGGGAAAAGAGCTACCCCACAGAGCAGGTCACGGTCTGGTCTCGCTGGGCTTTTTGGTGTTTGCAGCTTTTAAACCCTCCGTCAGCTTGCACCTGCCCGTGGCTCTTTTAAAGCACAGGAATGGAGGGAACGGGGTTGGGGAAGCACCCGCTGGAGTTTGTGCAGGAGCACAGCGGTGGGATGTGGGAAATAGATAAAACACTGAAACATGTGGGAGAGCAAGGAAAGAGGCATGAGAGGGGGTGGCACCTACCTTACTGGGAGAGTTATCTTTAAAACAACAGCAAAATCCATTTTAAAGACCTCCATTGTGTTTAACAGCCCGGAGTTTATTCCTCAGACTCCTTCCCTGGCTTTAATCCCGCTCCTAACTGCACTCCACACTCCTGCTGTGCCGGGAGAGCTGGCCCCGGGCCCCCCCCCCGCTGTCCCTGCTGTGCCGGGGGGGCTGGCCTGCACCCCTCCAGCCAGGAGCAGCCCAGGGGGAGCCCAAGGCCCTGGGCGGGGGGACAGGGGACGTGGCTTGGCCAGGGGAATTGGCTCTTCAGAAGAAATCCATCAAGCGCTTACCCCAGGCTCAGATTAATCTCAGGCAAAGTTCAAAGCCCCCCCAGCACCCCCCAGCCTGGGGCTCCAGAGCTGGCAGGTACGCTTGCTGGAGCTGCCCAGGGTGCTCCGGGAGATACCCGGAGCAGCACAGACAGGGGACCGTGCTCTCCCGCTCACCGCTTTGCTTTCCAGAGCCACCCACCAGCCGACACTGCGGGGGCTTAGCACAGACCTCGTGCTGCAGACCCCTCCCACGTCCTCCCCTGACCCTTGGGGATGTGGTCACGGGGATGCTGTTTTCACCGGCGAAGTAGGTAGAGCCAACCGAGATGCGGCTCCCTCAGCCTCTGCCCCCCCCCTTAGCAGCTGCCCCCCGAGATCCCAGCGTGCCGTGAAAGGCACGTTCACAGCGGCGGGGTTGTGCACCTCTCCAATGCAGATTCCCGGCCCACCAGCAGTGTCTGCTGGGTCATGGACCCATAAATCCCTTCCAAGGCAGATGCAGAGCACCCAGCCGCTCTGTGTGGCTCTCTACTTACAAGGCAGGGTATTTATTAGCTCCCCCCTCAAAAAAAAATTAAAAGGAAACCTGCTACTTTAACAGGGGTTTTCATACCTTTTCTTTGTCAGCATCATGAGTGCTGGGATTCCCCCCTTGCCCAGGCGTTTTTGAAAAGCGAGGGATGCTGTGGGGCACTGGTGAGAGCCACT